ACTCTTTCCTTTGGTTGCACCCGGCCACTGGGCTACAGATGGGGGTGAGCCCCAGGTCTGCCTTGGTGAAGCCCCAGCCCAGCAGGGGGCAAGATGAGGGCCGAGTGTAATGGGCTGTGCACAAATCCAGCCCCAAAGGCACCCGAAAAGCTCTATGGAGGAGTAGGCCAGCCCAGGCCAACTGCGGGCATATAAGGGTAGGAGGTGGAGGCTGGCGGGGGACTTAAAAGCAGAGACCAGATTGAGTGCGGCAAAGGGAAGCCACAAGATGGGCTTGAAGTGGGGATTCGGGGTGGGTCTTGAGATGATCAGCCTGGCACATTAGAAAGGACACTCCGGGGTCCCAAGAGGAGGAGGGTGGGGGGGGGGACAGTGTGGAGACAGGGACTTGAGTCGTCCAAGTAGTCCCCCTGGGGTTGACCGTGGCATCTGGCTCCAACCTAGACTAGGAGCTCGTGGAGGCCAGGTCAGTGGGCTGCTCATCTCTGCCCCTCCTGGACACTGCAGATGACCAGAGGAAATGGAAGGGCTGCCAGAGACAGGGCCTCTCTGCACATGAAAGACCAGCGAGGGCCTGGTGCACGCAGGTAGCTCTGATCTCCGCCTGTCTCCACGATAACCACGAAGACAGCGTAAAGCCCCGGGCTGCTGTCGCTACTCTGTCCCATCAAAAGCACATGGTGCCAGGGAACAAGGACACGTCCCACTTGGGGACGTCACAGGCAAGTAAAGCATACCTTCTCCCTGGCGTTTCTAGCTATGTCAGAGAGGAAATAGGGACCCGCTGGCGCCTGTCCCTCAATGCCTTGCTCCTGAGCGATTTCTTCTTAAAGGCCCAGCTCAAATGGCACCTCTTCCAGGGGTCCTGTTACAGGTTGCATTGTGTCCCCGCTGAAAGATATGCTGAAGTCCTAACCCAGGTATCTGGGTGGAAATAGGGTCTCTGCGGAGGTAATTAGTTAAGATAAGGTTGTACTGCAGTAGGATGCATCCTAATCCAATATGACTGGCGTCCTTACAGAAAGGGGACGTTTGAACACAGACGGACACACGGAGGGAAGACAGCCACGTGATGATAGAAGCGGAGGTTGGAGGGATGCATCTACAAGCTAAGAGGCGCCAAGGGTTGACGGCACTGCCAGAAGCTGAGAGAAAGGCCTGGAAGAGATTCTACCCCAGAGCCTTTGGAGGAGCACACAGCCCTGCTGACACCTTCCTTCATTTAACTTCTGGCCTCTAGAGCTGTGGAAGGACAACTTTCTGTTGTTTAATCCACCCGGTTTCTGGTACCTTGTCACAGAAGCCCCAGCAAATTCATACAGAGGCAGTAGCTCCTTCTCAGGCACCCACAGCGGCATTTCCCTCTGCGACCAGCAGGTGCCGATGTTGGTCTCTCCATTTGTTGAAGGGCCCAGCAAATCAGGAAGCGCCCAACCACACCAGCACCCAGGCAATGTGCAAAGGGCTTTATGTGTACTATCTCATATAGGATTTGGGACAGCCTCTGGAGGTACGCATCACTGCTCCCTATTTCACACATGAGGACACTGGGGCACAGAGAGGTAAAGTGACTTACTCAAGGTCACACGGCCAGTACAGGGCAATGCCAGGGTTTTGCCTTGTGCCAGAAGCTGTGCTCTTACTCACTGCTCCCCAGCCCCTCTGCCAGGCAGCATGTTGGGGCCCAGCCTCCAGGCCCCACCTTGATCAGGTGAGGCAGAGAGCCAGCTTCTCTGAGAGGAGGTATCTGAGTGAGCTCAGTTTGGAAGGTGGGGAAATGAGACGAACCCAAGAAACCAGCCCCATGGTGCCTGGAGGGAGGGCCATTGCCACAGGTGAGCGGTGGAGGGGGGAGGGGAGGGGGATGATGGTGGAGACAGGAGCTCAGATTTGTACACTTGGTGCTGAGGAGCCTTTGAGGCACCCAGGCAGGTCAGGAGTCAGCACTCCTGCTCCTCTCTGAAGTCCCTAAAGGGTTTGGTGCCTAGACAGGGGCGCCCCGCCTAGGTGGCTGAGAAGCTGACCTTCAGACCCAAGCCAAGGGGGATGGGGCAGGGACACGCTTGCACAGGGGCCTGGGGACCAGGCTGTGAAACTCTCCTACTTTGTCATAAACCAGCCTCCAGAACCGTGAGACAATACATTTCCACTGTCTGAGCCACCAGTTTGGGAGACTTCGTTATGGCAGCCTGAGCAGGACAGACAGCCATCTTGCTATGACGGCAGGTGACGGGTAGTAAACATCCAAAGGAATATTCTGGAATAAATGTTAAAATGCCTCTCAAATGATAATATAGCACAACCTACTTCCTCCTCCTATGTTCTTTCAGAAGGCATCTGAAACCAACATTAATCGCTTTCTTTTATTCAAAAGAGAAATTAAGGAGGATTCAGAGATGTGCATTGCTTTTGCTGAATTGTGTCCCCTCCAAAATTTATATATTTAAGTCCTAATCCCCAGTGCCTCAGAACGTGAGCTTATTTGGAGTGAGGTCGTTGCAGATATAATAAAGATGACATCATACTTGAGTAGGGTGGCCCCTAATCTAATACGACTAATATCCTCATAAGAAGAGGAGGTCAGGACACAGACACACAGAGGAAGACCTTGTAAGAGACGCAGGGAGAAGACAGGCATCTACACGCCAAGGAGAGAGTCTTAAGGAGAGACCCTGACAACACCTTGATCTTGGACTTGTAGCCTCCATAACTGGGAGACAATAACTGGGTTATCTGAGTCACCCAGTTTGTGGTACTTGGTCACCGCAGCTCTGGCAAACTAAGCCCCCATATTCCATCAATCACCATGTCCCATCAATGCTACCTCATGAAGAGCTCTCAAATTTTCCTACTTGTTCAAAAGTTCTTAGGGTGTCCTGTCTCCCTCCTGGCACAGAAGAGGTGGCCCCAAGGACCGAGGTCACATACAAATGGTTGTGGGGCTTGAGTCGGGGAGGGGCGTGTGGGACGTGCACTGGCAATTCCAAGACCTGTAACGGCCCCAGAGGCAGTGGCACTGTCGGCAGGACTTACCATGATTCAGCTCAAAGTACAAGGAGGTATTGATTGCCTTTTGCCTGCTGACAAGAGAGAGCCATTATCTGCCGGGAGACTCTGGGGCTCAGAAATCAGGGCCAATCAGAGCCCCACCTGGAGTGAGATTTTACCCGCGCTCAGCCTGTCCCTGCCCTGTCACCCCGCTGCCAGACCCTCCCACCTGATGGCCTCAGAGACCAGAGCCAGTTCTTGGCACCCACCTGGGCTCCCGAGTCCCAGCGGGGCTAGGCAGGCTGGGCGTGCACTCCATCCAAATCGTCCGAGACAGTTTGGCTCTGCCCCCGTCCGCACTGGCAAAGGAGGCGGAGGACAGCATTCGCAGGTTGAACTTGACCAACTTACAGGAGAGCCTTGAACAAGCCTAAGAATAGCAGGGCTAGTGCCCTGGCCACAGACCTTCTCACATCCCACAACTGGTACTTTTCCTCGGGATGTTGTGGCTGCCGCTGGACTCAGTGGTGGAAGGGTTAAGTTGACACAGATAAGCACTAAACAGACAAGACTGAAGCACTGCCTCCCAGGAGACTAGGCTGTTTTGCGCCTTTCAACCCCAGGACATCCAGCCAGAGAGGCCCTTACTGATTTCTGTGCCCCATCCTGTCACTGGGCATACAGGGACACTGACCCTGAGGTCCTGTAGGGAGGTGACCTGGCAGTCACCAGCCCTGGGCAGAGATGAGCAATTGATTACCTGCTCAAGCCGGGAGGGGATCGTGCCAGAGCAGGTGGGTCCTGGGTTTTCTTGGAAGGCCCGTCCTCATCCACCACCTCAACCCTTTGGGCAAGAAGAGAAACAGATGCACCGCTATCCTCAGGGCACTTTTGGCCTGCGAAGCTGCCCCGGAGCTTGCGGACCCTGAAGGACATGCTTTCTTTCAGTGGTGTTTATGGCTTAGCAACAACTCCAGCTTGGGATAAGGGCAGAACACTGGGTTGAATAGCACCCCACCAGAATTCACGTCTTTCTGGAACCTGGGAATGTGATCTTATTTGGAAATAGAGGAGTCTTTTCAATCAATTTGTCATCAAGTTACAATGAGGTCACACTGGGGTAGGGTGAGCCCTAAATCCATGACTATTGTCCTTATAAGAGGGAAATTTGGACACAGACACACAGAGGAAAGAAGGTCATGTGATGATGGGGGCAGAGATAGGAGTGATGTGTCTACAAGTCAAGGACTGCCGGCAACAGCAGATGCCGAGAGAGAGGCCCGAGATGGCTTCTCCCTCACAGCTCCCAGAAGGAACCAAGCCTGCCCACACATTGATCTCGGACTTGTAGCCTCCAGAACTGGGAGACAATCTGCTCCTGGACTTTGTGCCAGTTTCCACAAAGTGCCGGTTTGTGGTACTCTGGTATCACAGTCCCAGGAACCTCATACAGCCAGGAGGAGGACAGCATCATCTGTCACTTCCGTCATGCTGCCACCACCCTCTGCCTGGAACACTTGGTATGCCGAGTCCTCCTTGTTTTTCAGTCCTCAGCTCCTCATGGATATCTTCCCTCTCTACCCAGTAGAATACCCCTAAATTTCAACTGGCCAGAAGTTTCTTCCCCCTCCACCCCAAATACTGCCCTTTCCCAGAAGATGTCCTGTCAACTAATGGTGCCATCCCTCCCTCATTCAGCTGGAGTGTCTTGATATCCCAATCGTGGCCCATTGAACCCTGTTCACCCTTTAGGGTCCATCTCCAGTGTCATGGCCACTTCCAAGGGCCTGGTGAGGCAGGGGCTCCCAATGACAAGCCTCTGGACTCCAGCCCAATGATCCGTCTTACCAAGGCACTGTCCGGCCCACCCCAGAGGCCTTGGAAACACTAAAGCTCCATCGTGGGTCGGGGGCCGGGTTCACTCAGCCAGGCTCCTGCCTATGTAGCGTTGGTTGCCAGGGTCTTATGTGCCACCACAGCCACCCACGTGCTTCCTTGGCTTCCAAACAGAAGCCACCAGCCCCTCACGACTCCCTCTACTCGGGGACAGTGACCGCATCCCACCCTGCGCCTGCTCTCCCCACAATCCACCCCTGCCAATGGAAGACCTTCCCTTGGCCGACACTTACCTCTTTGCGATGAACGGGGCCTGTGTCTCCTGGGCAAGGCTGCTGGAAGAAGGCAGAAAGGTGACAAGTTGGGCAGAACCCACAGACAGGTGACATCACTCCCAGCACCTTACCTACCCTGATGGCGGCCTCCAGACCTCTCAGGTTTCCAGAAAGTAGATCTGAGAGTCCCAGAAGGTCTGGTTAGGAGGGCCCTCTCAACCCGCCCGTCACCAGCCAGAGGAAGACCAGAGCCCTGAAGGGAAAGGAAGTGGCCCAGAGCAGGGAGCGGGTTGGTGGCTGAGCCACAACTCACCTGGCACTCTTCTTGGCCGCCGACAGGACGTAGGAATGCTCCCGGGGAGCTGTCTTCCTCACCACACTGCTGGCAGCCTCTGACCTGGGGTGGCACAGGGAGGGGGCATCTGATGGCACGAGGAGGGGCTTGCTCTGCCAGCCTAGCCAGGCAGCTACCCGGGAGGCAGGGGGAGCTTTAGGGAGCTGCCCGAGACCCCACAACTAGAGGGCGGCAGAGTTGGCAGTCGATGCCCGGCAGCCTGGCTCTGGAGCTCTCGGCTCTTCCCCGGTACCTCCGAGGCCTGGGGACCCCTGCTACTGTTGACTCTGCCCTTAGGACTGCCTGTCTGCTGGGCCTTCAGCGTGGGGGGCTTTGGTGTGTTTCCTAAGTCACGGAGGGGCCAGCAGATGTTGGGAGTGAGGGCAGGCTGAGCTCGGAGCCGAGCTGCTGCCCAAGCATCCAACCCTCACTTTGGGACAAGGGGCATGGGCACCTCTGGAGCCTGGCCCTGCCCCCAGGCACATACAGGAGGCTTCTCCCAGGGCACTATGCACTGCCTATTTTGGTCCAATTTGCTCAGGAACCTTTTTAACAAACTATAGAAATTCCTCATTACCTAGGTTCTGCCCTCTTAGAAGGTTCATAAGAGGGTCCCCTGGGCTGGCCCGGCACTGAGTGGGTAGTTCTGGGGTTCCAGGAGTGCCACCTGTGCTGGCAGCGACCCTCCAGCCAACAGACGAGCACCGATGCTCCGCCTGTGGTGCACCAGGCTTCAGAGACTTGAGCCCCGCCCGGTCCACGGGACGCCCAGCAGGCACCGTTACCTCCGTTTCTGCTCATCAGAAGAGAAGGGCACCTCCTCGTCTTCAGCAGCCCCTGACGCTGAGCTGCGCCTGACGTTGTAGGGTGCCCTGGGGGGGGGGTTGAAGAAGCTGGCAGTTATGGCCCCCCCTCCCTCTACGTCTGCCCCTGCTCCCTGTCACAGGCCGCCACCCTCAGCGGCTTGGCTTCCCGACTTACAACAGTGACAACACCGAAAACAACACGTGTTGGCATGGCTGCCCCCGGACTCTGCTCGCTATCTGTCCCTGTTCCAACCCTTACTGTACCCCAGGACCCAGTTCAAGCCTCATCCCTTCTCCAGAAAGATTCCCTATAGCTGCTCTGTGTCACTGGATGATGGTGACAAGGGACAAACAATATAAAGATGTGGGGCCCTGGGCCCACAGGAGAGGGGCTTGGACAGGGGCCGCAAGGGGAGCTCCAGAGGGAATCCCAAAGATTTATATCCAAGAAGCAGGCCAGAGTTAGGCACAAAGTGCCCACAGGTGACCGGCTGCCAGGGCCAGCAGCATGCTTGGGCTCACCAGGTGCCAGCCCAGTTCGGCCCAGCCCAGGAAACAGCTAGGGCCATGACCCATGACACTTTCTCCAGACCCACTAGCTCCTTCTACAAGCTTCCTACAGCCCCTGCTTTGCTTCAGATCAGAAGTACAGTGTGCACACTGTCCAGTTTTCTGGAGCTTGTCAACCTCCGGTGGGTTCCAGGCCACAGTGGCAACTGGCAGCGATGTCAGGCCGACAGGACTTGCACTCCTGGGCTGTGCTCAGACCTGGCTGTGCTCAGAGGCAAGCAGCCAGCTGCCCTCAGCGGGCCCACGGTTCGGGCTCATCCTTGGAGGAGGGAACCAAGTTAAGTCTGTGATTGCATACTCACAGCTTCTTGTAATCCTCTGTGGTCATCCTGTAGCCGGAGGAGGAGGGGCGGGGAGGCCCGGCAGCGCTGCAGAGGCAAGGAATCTCTGTGAGTCTACCCGCAGGGCCCTCTTGCTTCCAGATTTGCCTACATGGCCCAGTGGGCATGTGGCAGGTGGACAGGGGGTGCTGGCGCCCTTTCCTCTCTGCTCTCAGCCCTGCCAGGTACCCAGAACAGCTGTGCAGGGCAGCCCTCCTGCCACAGGCAGACCCAGCCACCTTGGTCCTGCCTTCCTGATGAGGCCCAGGTTCAGCCTGGCGCCAGCTCAGCCTGTTGGGAAGGAGGCGGCCTAAAGCGCGGCTCAGTGCGGCATCAGCGAGTCAGTGCCCACCCAGCCTCCTCCCGGTGCCTCTGTCTCAGTGACCAGGGCCAGTCAGGACTGGCCCAAGGACAAGGGCACTGGTAGTGGTCCAGGGCCTTGCCTTACACAGGAAGAGACCTGCCACCCACCACCCCACCCCCTCAGTGACAGGCAGAGGACTGTCTCTGGCCTGAGCGTGGCCTGGGCCTTCACGCCTCGCACGGGCCAACTGGCCAGCACTCTGTGAACACACCGTTTTGGAGCTCCGTCGGCCTTGGGTAAGTGCTGCTGGGGCTGAGGCGAGCTGTCTACAGGCTTGGTGAACACTCCCCTGAAAGAGAGCCCGGGAGAAGCAACGCCGTGAGCCCCCTGGGAGATGCTGGGGGCAGCGCGGGCGGGCACGGGGAGGCGGGCAGGGGCCTGCGGTCACCTACCGGATGATATAGCCAGTGGGAGCCCTCGCGCTCGGGGGCCTGCCAAGGGAGGAGAAGGGATGGTGTGAAGCCAGGCTGCCCAGTGACGGCAAAGTGGGTTGGCTGCCGGGCGTCCCAGTGCAGGCAGAGCAAGGGGAGCGACAGTGGCCAGCTGCTTCCCAAGAAATCCAGCCACGCCTGCACCCCTAGCTGGGCTACCTGTCCCGCTCTGCCTGTCTCCCTCATGCCCCCCCAAGAAAGGTACCCCAGGCCGATTCTTCTGGGCCCTGGCTCACTGCAGGTGCCCAGGAAGGCATGTTCCACGGCTGGGCATTTATACAGAGGTGTCCCCTCCAAAGTCCGGCTTCTGCCTGTTCTGACAGCCCTCCTCACCTCCCCTCTCAGAGCTGACCCAGCTCAGGCTGGAGGCTCTGTGCTCAGAGGTCTGGGGCTGAGGCGATGCCAGGCAGAGCCCCTAACCTGATCTGACCCCCTACTCTGCCCAGCCCCCTCCAGGAAGACTCGTGAGGGCCCAAGGGGCAGAGCCCAGGCAGGAGCCAGCTGCCCTTTCCTTCCCGCTCTGCATGAGCCTCCCTCCCCCAGCCCGTGCGATGCCCACGTCACAAGTCTTGATAGAAGTTTGGGACCGGAGGGCACGGCCAGGGTTTGGTCAGTGCCTGGCAAACATCAGACTCTATGGGCTGGGCACCTTCCGCCTGGGAGGGGGCTCAGAGGACTCGGGTGAGGGGTGTGGGCAGGCAAGAGCTGGTAGTGCTGGGGAAGCAGGGCTGTGAGCTCTGGGATCAGAGGCAGGAGACAAAGACTCGGCAGATGGCTCTTCTGTCCAGGAATAGGGGAGCTTTGGGGCTGGAGCAGCTAGGAGGGCAGTGCAGAGCCCCAGTGTTCTCCACCCCCATGGACCCTGTCCTTAACAGGGCATGGCCTCCTGGAGGTGACCAACTTACAGGAACACTTGGAGTGGAACCCGAGAAAGAAAGGTCACTTATCCCACGCGTTTTCCAAATATACTCCCAAACCAAAGCCCAGGCTGAGAACTGCACCCCCAAAGTAAACATACTCTCGAACGAATAGATTATCTTTGAACTGTGCTCAGGCTCTGGCCAACTGCCGCTATCACAATCCGCAATTCTCTCTTTCACGCTCATCTCTCTACTCAGGATGTGCCCGTGTTCCCGGCTAGGATGTCAGTTCCCTGAGGAGAGGGCTGGCTGTGTCCTCTGTGCCCAACACAGGACCTGGCAGGTAACAGGTGCTGAGTCATTGAGAGATTACGGGCAAGGGCATAGTTACCGGACGGAGCCCCTGTGGCTAGCAGTGAACTTGGACCCCTGCCTTCCAGCTGCTGCCACTGCCTGTACCACCACTCCAGGAAGGCACGGGCCCTGCACTCAACTGCCAACTGCTGGCTCTTTGAAGCAAGGATCAAGCCTGAATTGAGTGGTCCCCCTAACCCTAACCCCGCACTTCTCAGGAGTAGTTCCTCCCCATATGGGCAGGATGTGCCCACCCTTCGGAGCCTCCCTGGACACCATTAGGCAAAAGTCCTTGAAATAGAGAGAAGAACTGGCTCCCCTCGGCCAGCTGCCAGGATATGTGTCATCTTGAACTTGGGAGACAGTTGGGGCAAGTGTGTGAGTCTCCCCTGGCACTTGGGACGCTGTGCTGATACAACAAAAAAAGTGACAAGTAAGCACGTCTTAGAGCTTGCAGAATTTGCATAAAACTGAAGTTATCCAGACCCGTGGGTATTGCCTTTTTAAAAATGTGCCTGGGCTTCCCTGGTGGCGCAGTGGTTGTGAGTCCGCCTGCCGACGCGGGGGACACGGTTTCGTGCCCCGGTCCGGGAGGATCCCAC